ACGTACATTGTTGTAGTCAAAATACCATTTTCTGCTTTATAACTTAAATACATATATCCTTTTTTATGTATATACGTTTCACGTTTGAAAGTAAATACACACAAAAGAAAAACAGAAAAACAGAAAGTAAACACTTCGTGATTTCTTTGCTTTTAAATATGAAACCTATAATATATCTACATAAAAATTACATATTGCACTGTTAATACAATAGTGTATTAACTCAAAAAGAGGATTTTGTCAGAATTAATGAAAAACGAATTACTCACTTCCCGCAAAAAAAATCTTTGAAATTTATATGTTATGTTTATTAGAGACACTTAAACAATTTCTCAAATATATTTAAAACTGAAATTGCAAAAAATAATTTCATGTGTTTGAATAAAGATTATTTTGGCAAGAAATAGCTCACATAAAGTGTGTCTCATTTTGAGTCAAGTAGGTATCTTTTGATTGTTTCTTACAATATTCTAACGACAGAAATATCACATATTTTGAGTTACAACACTATTGTAATAGCAGTGCGATATTTAAGATAACTGGCAAAAAATGGTATTTTGACTTACAATTTACCTACCTGAGATATTTGTTGCTTTTGTTGTTAAAAGTTGTAGTGTCGTGACATGGATGTGTTATTGGTGTGACATTGATGATTTGATGATGATTAATCTTTATTTTGATAAATCTTCTAGTTTTAATTAATAGAAACTTCTGACATTGGTACGGTGTTTTGACCAAGAAAGCGCTCTAAAAACGATTGCTCCATCGTATCGTAGCTATAAGAGTGGCAAAATGGCAACACATTAGGGTAATTGAAAAACGCGGGCTGCGCCTTTTTGATTTAATAACCCCTATCGGTGATCTGTGCTCCATTTCCAATATGGGTTAATAGTTACAAGATTTATAAGGATGTAAATTTGTTGTTTCCGTCTCTCTGTGGTTCAGAATAGGGATAGCTCCAAGTTGGGCGCCAATAACAACGTGACATTTTACGGAAATAAATCAAGTGAAACAAAAAGTTTAAATTAGGTAGAAATTCGCTAACTGTGGGCATCAAATTACTAAATAATTCTTTAACTTTATTCCAGTTTAAGTTACTACTATCGCAGAGAACAACAAAGTAACACTATAGTTAAAAGGTAAAAGGGATTAAGTGACATCGAAGTTTTTTCGCTTAATTCTGATTTTAAATCTATAATAGCCTGTACGGTTTTGGATTTTGGTAAAATTACAGGCACATGGGACTTGGCAATTTCTGATCTTTGCGATTTAAAATTGTGTCGCTAATCATCTGGCGAACGGCGTGTTCGTCCCGTTTGGTATCATAAAAAAAGACACACAGTTTCACGCCTGTCTCCTACTTGGGTAGGCAGATACCACGAACTTTAACTCACATCAGACTCGTCGTACTTATTGTTGATTCTCCTTACTCTCTGACCTTTTTAATGATATTTTACCTTCATTTATAAACAATAAACCCTTTCTTTAGTCCGTTTTTCTACACACTGATATTCAGTCGTTAGATTTAAGGGTTTTTTCAGAATTGAAGCAAAAAATTTATTTCATTGTTATGACAAATTAAAACATAAAAAATACAGTTATTTACGCGACGTCTCTAGTTAGCGATGGTAGCTGTAAAGGTACCCTGCTTAGTGAAGAAATAAATTTCTCACAGATGGCGTTACCATACCATACCGTAACCAAAAACAAAGATCTGCAACAACTATGTACAAAAAAAAATTAGGTCTGCTGGTTCGTTCCGTGGCTTAATTAGCAGAGCATCTGACAGGGATTGCCTGAGAGTGCTGGCTCGAATCCAGTCGGGTCGAATTAATTTTCTTAGTGTTTCGATCCTTGTTATAATAATTACAACAAAGTAGTGGAGTAATTTCACAATAAATAATGGAATATCGTGGTAGTAAAACATCGTGTATAAATTAAATTAAGAAGCATATATAGTAGTAGGTCCAACGAACTCATAACCTTGAGTAGATCCAAATTTAATTTATGAAATTTCAAATTTGTAACGCTCCCTTGCACAATTTAGAAAATGTCACTTAGCCCCCCTTACCTTTTAACTGCTGGTTTTACTTACATACCTAAGCATTATGCACCACAATGGAAAACAATAAGAAATATAAATAAAACAAACATGGCAAATGGGTCTACAACTCAGCTACAGATGTCTATGTAACCATACAATAATATAATAATAAACAAAAAAATAGGGTCCTTGTTGATGTTCTGCTAAAACCCATACTGGTGACACGGCTGCGCAAACTTTGAAATACAAATACGTAATAGTATTTATAATTGAAATATTATAATATTATTTAAGAATGTGTTTCGTATACAATACTTTCGTGAACCAATAAGGTCAAAATACTATATTTTTTTATGATGCCAGGTATGAGAATGTACTTTACATTTTCAATTAACCTCAATAAATTTTATCTATAAAATTAATAGATTCTCAGGGAAACCTTAGGGCCCATCGCATTAGCATGGCTATAGGTACAAAGGGGGATTGCTGCTGGTATCTTAGGCACCTTGCCGCGGGGACCCAATTTTATTCATATATAATTTAAGGTCAAGGAGTTGGCTATGGACCGTGAGGAGTGGAGGAGGCTACACCGACAAGAGCATGGCTCTTAAATAAAATGAATGAATAATTTAATCGTTAATACGCTTTAGTTTCTAGTATTGTAATTTCTTCTCTTAACAAACTTACACAACAGAAAAAAACCTTATTTAGCTATGACGGTGTCTCGATGGTGATGATAAAATTGACCCTTCCATTTTCCCTGGATGCCATCTGCACGATAGTGAATAAGTCTCTATTGGACGGACATTTTGCAGAGGCCTGGAAATGCGCGATTGTAATACCCTTGCGTAAGAAATCCGATATTACTGACTACTGTCAACTCCTATAAGTATACTACCGGCCTTATCGAAGATAGTGGAGCAATGCCCTCAGCTGCAAATTGCAGTATCTAGAAAAAAACAGTATCTAGTATATTGCCCTCTGTACAGTCAGGATTCTGCAGGAATTACTCGGTCACTGCTCTTCTAAACATAACAGACGATGTACTCACCGCCTCAAATGAGGGTCAGGGAACATTGCTTTACTTGATTTTAGTCGAGCTTTCGATTGCGTAAACATACCACTTCTGCTGGGAAAATTAAGATACTACAGGTTCACGGAAGCGCTTGGTTCCAATCATATTTCAAGAACCGTTGCTAAAGGGTGCGCTGCATAGGTGCTGAAGGCAAGGTCACTCTGTCCAGCAGTATTGGTGTAAAAAGAGGCGTAGTTCATGGTTCCATATTGGACCCAACTTTATTTGCAATCTATACAGCGAACATAAGTAAGACAGTAATGCATTCTCGCCTTCACCTTTATGCCGACGATAGTCAATTGTATGTCCACACATTGCTATTTCTAAATTAGACGCAGATATCCAAGCAGATGCTGATTGGTCCTCAAAACATGGTTTAGTGCTTAATTGAGTGTTTCCATCGCACTCGGAACCAAAACTCAGATAAATTGATAAATAAGTATAAACCACTTATACTGGTCTCTAGCAAATAGGTTCCGCATGAGGGAATTGTACGTAACCTGGTCTGATAATGGACGAATTTTTAAGGTTCTAACGACATGTACTTAATAAAATAGCAGTGTTTTGCATCTTTAAAAACACTATAATATCAGACCCTATCTGAAGGAAGAGATGCGCTTGGTGTTGTATAATGAGCTACTCTGATATAGTAAATGTTTAACAAGGTTATGGTAGAATAGCAGAGGCCGTGTGTTTCCCGCGACCGCTGAGTCATAAACAGTTTTGTCTTGTTAATTAACACTGTCTTTGATTTTATTATAAAATGTATCACTGTTTTCAAGACAAATAAATGAGTTTATTATTATTCGTTGAATGGCACATTTTGTATATGACGGGATTGATACAATCGACGTACAAAGAACGTTGTGCGTTCGTTTGCGTGCCTTATTCCAGCGTGGCCATGGTCGAGTTTTTTCAATTTGACTAGTCATATATTGTCGCCATTTAGTCGGTTCTAAAGTTATAATTGTCCGCGCTGGAATAAGCTTATCCCAGTGAGCTTATTCCTTGGTCACAAAGAAAGTCGTCAATTATTCGGAAGCGAATTTTTGTAAGGATATTGTACATAGCATGATGAACTTTATGGTCGATTGTAACGTACAAACTAGATACGGGCCAAAATATAACACTCTCAAGATTTGCTATGTACAATATCGTTACAAAAACTCGCTTCCATTTCGTTCCGCCGCAATAAATTGAGCCCTTGTCGTAAAAAACTAGATTTAGACGTTACGCCGTTTTATAATTGTGGGGATGTTTTACTGTTCATGGAATAAGCTTATTTAAGCGGTATCATTTTTGAATCTCGAGAACCAGTTTTATTTATTATGGTATCAAGTGATGGGACGAACAAGTCGTGCGCCTGGTGGTAAACACTTGACGATTTAAAAGACCTAGAAAAGTTGTGAATTAAGCATTGACTTACAATTATATGGACGTCCGGTCCGCGCTAAAAAGTGCCCGAACTTATAGGGCGTTAAAATCGTATACAGAGCGTCATTCACGCTGTAGTCTTCGTTTGTTCGACTGACAGCGAAGCAAGCAGAATTAGACAGTACTGCGATGACATTACAATTTAAATTCAACGTTTTAGCTTTTTCATATTCCTTTACATGTCACTACGTTTAAATAGGTTGACTTGGGACATTTTTTTCGTGGTTTGTGTATTAGACCCGTCGTCCATTTATTTGTAAGTCAATGGAATTAAGTCACAAATTTTGTAATTAGTCGCTTTTCTCAAGCTGAACGAAAGGACGTCGAAATCAAACGCAAATCATTTTTGGCAAAAAATTAATTTAATTTATATTAATAAACGAATATAAGCAAATATTAACAATATTCACATAGTTATAATTGAAGAGATATTATTTGCACCGACGAATGTTTTTTTTCTCCCGGAACGACTTATCCTTTGAATAAGGTAATAAAACCATTAAAACTTCTTTTACTTAAAGCGTACACGCAATTAACGATCTTGGTCCACGTACCAGTAATGGGTGCTTTAAATGCTTTTTATGTATTCTAGTTCTCAATTATTTAATTACTCAACGGGTCTTTTTTATTTAAAAGTCGATACTCCCTAAAACTCCCAACTGCCAACTATTTTGTTACTAATTTAAAAAGTTATTTACGTATAAATTGTAGTTTAGAATTAAGTGCTTATTTAAACTAGTTGTTTGCACTTGACAGATTGCACGTGCGTTACCGAGACGAATCACTCTTTTGTCCTATTGTACTTTAAAGATGAAGCGATAAGACGAATTGGTGCAAATAATATTTCGCCAGCTATAACGTAGCCCACACTTAGTGTTGAAAAAGTTGGCAAATATCTTCGTATTAAAATCTGTATGTGCGTCAATGTTTGCGACTATGGAAAACTTTTTAAACACAGGGTGCGGGCTGTTTTACATTTTTATCAATCAAAGTACAGCCACAGACAGTTACAGTCTAATTATACTGAACAACTCATCAACACCATCGTCGTCACCATACCATCGCTTTTTCGTAGAAATAGCGAAAGCGCCATTACGAAAAATTTTTGAGGGGAGCTAGTTTTAGTTTTACCGACTGTTTTAAAATATTTACGTCCTGGTTTAAATTCAATTTTAAAACTTAAAGTTAATTAAAACCAAAATTAAATTTTAAGACAGGACGTAAATATTTTAAAACAGTCGTTAAAACCTAAATCCTGCTCACCGGAATAAATTTTCGAAATCGTGCTTTCGCCCTTTCTACAAAACACCGACAATATTAAAGCCCACTGCCGGGGAAAGACTAAAGAAGCCTGTGCCCAGTAGTACACCATAAACTCCGCACAATCTGTGAACATTATTTTATTTATGAGCGCGGACTGCACTACATGTTATAAATTTAGCACAAATTAAAAACCATATTTCATAAACTAATAATAATTTAAAACTAAATTGTGTGCAATAATACAGTTAATTACATCATTTACATGTTTAAAACCTATATATTTTTTTAATTAATAGCACGAAAGCAGCTCCTTCTAACTGTAAATTGTTTAAATCATACTCTTCTATCTAAATCAAATAACTTTAACAAAGTACAAACTTTATACAAAGATAGGAAGTATTATAACAATTTAGGCTGCTTCATAAACTGTCTTAAGGCACCAAAAAATAATACTAGATTAAAATAAAAATCTACATTTTTTAAATTTATATCTAACTTTGAACATAAATTTACAAATAAAATAAATGCTAAATAATATTGAAATAAATCCATTGGTTCATTACGAAATTCTAATTAAAACCAATCATAAAACGAAGGCATACAAAGTTAGCTTTGAATATTTGAGTTTTTAAGTTATTTATTGAAAAATGTGTTAATAAAAATTCAAATACAAATTACTGTAATTTTTAATATGGCAGTCCTTTTGTTTACCAAATACATCCTCCGTATATATTGCTTTTTAGTTACAAAAGGAGTTGGAAGTCCATATCGTTCATTTTATCTATAATCATATTATAGAACCTGAACTTTTCCTGTCATTTTTTGCAGAACTTATTTTTGTGTATCTACAATATAATAAGTACAAAAATGTTTTTTATATAGCCATAATTAAAGAACTACAATAATGAATTAATGGATGCCTTAATTAAATTAATAAATTTCGATTATACATTTAATTAATACATGAAATAATTTCAACAGACACTATATGGTATAATCACAATAAAAAAATACTTTTCCTGTAGACGGCTTGCCAGTTTAAATACCATGAAAAATAAACAATATGCAATGCAATAACACGTTATAAAGAATCATATTTGGGTGAATTATTTTATTTGACACAGGACAAATATCTTGACCATATTGTTATTGAGGCTACATTGCAACGCGCAAGGGTCACGTTTTACTTGATAGGAAAAAAGAAAGAAAAATAACCGTAAGAGGTAGCAAAGAAAAGATTCAAGTGAAAATAGGTTTCTTTTTAACCGACTTCAAAAAGGGAGGAGGTTCGCAACAAAACTTGGCTAATAGATGTAATTCCACGAACTTTTGATGTCGGTTTTTTTTATAAAAAGTTATTGCAGAGTGCATTTTTCAAGATATCTGCCGCGATTTAAATAACTATTGTTGCATATCCCTTAGTACATGTTTTAATATCGCCCCTTCTGTGTCTCTAGGCGTAGTGACCCCCGTGTCGAGCATCCCCCGTGGACTCGTGGTGTCGGACTCTATGCTGACATGTGAGGAGGTTTCTGTGGCGTCAATGTTCTGGAAAAGGAGGTTGTTGGAACCTGTTGACGGGTTGCGTTTGTGACCCACGACACCTACGTCTTGAAGGTTCGGATGGGGACCTGAGAGAAGATTAAATAAATTTAAAATATTAAGGTTAAAATAAATTTGTTACGGTGAAAAAAGTCGTTAAAAACCAAAAAGGCCAGCAGGATGCGTGCGGTTCGTAAGATATAACAATAAATGACATATTTTTGGTCGATATAACGTTCAACGCATATAATTAATTTAAGGTATACAGATATTTGTCATAATCTTGGATGATATAAAGGTCACTGGGTATAATAGACGATTGATATAACAACTTTCAATCTAATATACCGATGGCATAATGTTCATTTTATATAAACACTTCATATATAACATTCACCGAGTATAATGTATTATAAATAAAATTCCAGTGTTTTTTAAGTGCAATGACGAGCGTAGCGAGGAGTATTAGGCACAAAAACACACAAAAAGAATCTTATAGAACTACTACTGCTCCTAGATTAGGCTGGGTTAGAATCGCGACCATAACGGCGCGCGAGCCAAGCGAGCGTGCCGCGGCAGCGGCCGGCGAAGTGCAAAGCCAAATTTCGATCCGAAATCAGTAGTTATTTCGATTAGAAATCTTATTTTTGGTGTGAAAACATTATTTTTGATGGACATGAGTTGATGTATATGGTTTTTTGAAATAATGTGTAATATTATTTAATACAATATGCTGGTAATACCTAAACCGTTAGTTCATTATGTTACCTACATATTATATCTAATGTTTGTTATACTGAATATTTATTATACACATTGAAATTGCCTTTTGTTGTTCCACCTCTTATTGGTTATATTTAATGAGTGATTATATGCTAATAAATTATATCAAAAGTTGTTATGCCAAGTGAAAATAGATTATTTATTGTTAAATCTTTCATTACACACCCGTGGCAACCGACACTGGATTTGAACCAGTACCCTCAGGCAATCCGTGCCAGTCGCTCTGCCAATTAAGCACTAAACGGACCAGCAGGGATGCTCCAGCCAGACCGAATGAATTTTTCTTAGTGTTCGATCTTTGTCATTAATAAGTAGAACAAAGAAAATTCCTTCGATCTGATTCAACTCGAACCAGCGTCTGTTGCCAAATCGGAGCCACCGCTCTTATCAAATGGATCGAGTCTGCAGATCTTACGGTTTATTCTGTGCTTGTTGCAGGTCTTTATAACGGGTTCGAAAACAGCCGTTTAGGAAAATAAATATTTCTTTGTGTTTATTTGATCTTTAATAGCAACAAAACTGCTTCTGTGGCCGAACGGTTACCATGTTGGTCTGTCACACAGGACCCGGGTTTGATTCCTGTTTATTGTTGTTAAGAGTTGGGGTGTAATTTGTGGTTGTTTGTGTGTGCCCATGGCACCCGCAATACAGGGTCTCCCTAGTGCAGGGCTAAGAGAGTGTGCGTTGCGTTACATCTTTAAAAAGTAATAATGTGTCAGACAAAAAATATACCGTCTCAAATTAGGGAATTCCTTGTACAATGAGTTCCAGAGCAACGGTATTCTTTCTGGGCCACCCAGACGAGAAAAGTTCATTTTCTAAATTAGTCCTACAGGGAATCGAATCCGGGACCTCTTTAGCCAGCGTTCCAGGTGCAAACCGTTGGGCCACTGAGGTCGTCTGATCTTTGTATCAGTAATATTTGTAAATATTTTTGGTCAAAATTTATTAGAATAAACAATGTCAGTTACCAAGGGTAGAACTCCGTCTAGATCCAGGAGTGGAGCTTCTACTGGTATTACCCTGCGTCAAGCCCATCATATTAGGCAATGGGGCCCTTGGTTTCGACTCGTTCTGCAGGAACTTAATGAATTCCACCGCCAGTCCTTCGGTCGCGTTGGCTGATCGAACTAAGCCGAGGCGTTCGCATTCTTGCTGGTTGAAATCCAGGACAGTAGACAAGATTCTTAGAACTTGTGTTCTGGAAAAAAGTGACACGTTAATATTTTTATTACCTTCAGAAATGCTATGGTATTTTAATAATTCCAAAGATTTTTTTTTGTTGCAGGAGTACTTTATTATCTGGAAATCAATATTGTCAAACCAGACATAGAATCGTTTTGAAAATTTGTTACGTAGTGTTATTTAAACATATCATACTAATGCCGCGCCAGTAACACGTGTATTCCAGAGCGCATACGCTGATCTACCGTCTCTGCACAATCTTTGACTGATCCACGAAAGAAAAAAAACGATGGAACTGCCTTAAGCCTCGATTACATTACTCACACATTCATAATTTTAAACATTATGAAAGCTTGACAATGATTGACCGTAGTTTATAAATTAAAAAGAAGTAACAAATTTTATGTTAATATAACTCAAACTGTACCCAGTTGGCATATCAATGAAAGTTCAATAATTATTGTAAGTTACGAAATTTTGATTTTATATTAAAATTTCCATCAACGTGCTGCCATCTAGAGGTCAATAGCTGGACGACGACGAATTCGAGATGTTTACTTAGTTATTGCAGCGGTATAAGGTTTGAAAATTTATTAAAATTAAATAAAATAAGCTTTAACGATGATATGAAACACTGCGATTATTAATTTTGCACTCCAAAGTTGCAAAATCAGGCATTTTTTCTACGATTCTCGAGGTTTTGCGCGAGATTATTGACACGGCTATAACGTACAAAGTGAAAATGGCGGGCCGAGCTCAAGTATATGGCACTCCGCGTACTGTTGGCATACGTGACACGCACACTAAGCACTTCTGCTGCGTTTATTGTTCTGTGGTCTGGTCTAATTCAACTTAATTCTTTATTGCACTAACCATAATACTACATGGGATGGAAAATGCTTAGAGCCTTAAATCCTTGTAATAAATCCTTTGGCAGACGGGCGTACGTGTGTGAAATTAGGTTGGAGTACACTTACTTGTTGGTGCTGTTCTGAGCAGCAGTCTGCACGTAGTTAATGACGAGGTTCTTCACCAGATTCTTGTCCACTTTGTCTTGCTGGTTTGATATCGCATTGTAGTACCTTTCTTCAGCAGCCGCCACAGACGCTTGGAGAGTTCGTACTATAAAATCGAGATTATAAATATTAATGACTTATGAAATTTTTTTTAACGTTAAAGAAAATGCTGCAGAGGATTTTTTTTCTAGACAACCACACCAAATTACCTGGGCCCAAAGTGCAAACTTTTAGGCCACTGAGGTTGAAATTCCATTGACAACACCATTAGTGATTTCAATCACTTTAGGGTCCAAAAGAGTTTATTGATCTGATTAATCATTATCCTGTTCAAACCAAGTTCTTATCAGTGTAGCCTCCTCGTCTCCTCACACAGCTATAAAGGGGTCAAGGACCTGGCTAAAAGTTTCCAGTAGATAATTAATACTAGAATGTTTACAGCAACAACTATATAAATAAGTAACATCGTACTGCTCAGTAATAAAATAACTAAAGTGTAAAAAATTTTTTTGGGACAGTCACACAATAGACTTAAAAAAAAATACGTGGCAGCTATATCGACCCCTCCTACGTAAAGTATCGTATGTCGAAATTGCCATGTTTACAGGGGAGCGTTTTAAACTTCTGAATTCACTAAAATAAGCATAATACGTGACTTTGGCATTTCTTAGTTTATATTCGGCAAAGCTCGTTACTCACATAGAGTATTATAAAATTCTAGATATCGGTTAGATGATCTATGATGATCTATATGATGATTACTCTATGTGAGTAACGAGTGAATTCAGAAGTCTCAAATACTCCCCTGTAAACTTGGCAATTTCGACATATGATTCTTTACGTAGGATACGGTCGATATGCCCATTTGGCTGGTGTCAAATTTGGTAAAAATTATTGTTCTATTTCGTAGGCTTTTTTCGCTTTCCCATAAATATTCTTTTGGATTATGCCACTTTATTGAGCGTGCGACATAATATAAACATTATTTACAATAAAAGTATGTAAACAAATACGTACTACAATCTACTCTTACCATGCCAATTGTCTTGCAAAACGGCGTCTTCTAGGGATGCATTTGCGCGCACGATTTCAAAGTATTATTCAGCCACTGGGTAGGGAACGAAGGGCACTTAACACTATTATTGGGTAAAGGAAACCAATTTTATTGCATCTGGCATGCAGCAGAATTTCGGAACTTTTGATCTACGAACATCCAATACATGAATGTTTAGCACTGTTTAGAGGTAACAGTAAGTGCTACAGTGGTATGGCCTCTCCCACTTCCAATAAACTTTTGCTTGTATTTTTACGGCAGATCAAAAGCTTAATCAAATTAGTTCGAGTGTAATTGTTCTTCGTTCTCCATATATTCATACCACCAGTACCTGAAGTAATACTCAGAGACAATGCGGCAGGTCTTCTAGCTTCTAATCTTCTACTTTGACGATGCAGGAGAAAAAAAAACGCTTTACACTTTTAGAATTCTTGCATTGAAAATGTGTATAGTCCGATCATGTTGCGAACGCAGGATTGGCCATTGTCATCATAAAAGCTTTGTGATTGGCTACTTTCAATTTCGTACAGTATTTCATGTGATATCACAGTTACGTGATTGGTCAATGTATATTTTTTACAGTATTCGCAATAAGAATGTTGAAAAGGTATTTTTTTAGACTAGGTCGGTAGTTACTCCACAAAAATGTCATAAATCAGAAACTGCCTACATACGAAATTTATACTGTTTCAATGCAAAAACTCCACACAACAAAGACAATACAATAGTGCTACAAGACAAAATGCACGTGCTATAAAAAAACATACGCAAAAGTAAAAGAAAAAACATTCACAAAAAAACTTAAGCACAAAAAATGGTGAGACACAGAGACGTCACGACGTGATGCCAGACACCTCAATCAAACCCCATATGGTAATCTGAGTTACACGCGACAAACCATGACAGCTGTCAAACTGACAGTGACACTTGACAGCTATCGCGGCGTGATTAAGCCTCACAGTTACCAAATGAGATTAGACCGAAGCAGGCAAAGCTTGCTTGATGATTGAATACGGCGGGCACTGGTGTAAAGTGTAACTAAGAGTTTAAAACTTTGACCAAACAATAAGTCAAAAGAATTGCTCTCACTAATGCGAAGCCACGCGTTAAAATGACACTAACTAACATTACATGCCTAATACATGAAAATACTAGAGTTGGATTTTTAGAGATTAACAAACTGACAGTTACTATTGTCATTTTGAAAATAATGTTGCCATTTTAGCTGTACTAATTTAAGTCGAATTTTCCGTGGTCTTTAATCATGATCTTCGACACGATGACGACAAAAAATCTACCTAAATACGTGAATTATCCGTTAGTTAGTCAATATGTCTGAGTCACACAACTCACACTACAGTTTTCTATTTAAAATGTTGCCATTGTTTATTGGATAGTGCTAGAATTGTCATCGTGTTCAAATGGTTACCGTGCTGGTCTGCCACGCACAGGCCGGGGGAAATATTTGTATGGTCTACATTTATTTGTCTCGTGAATTTGGGTCGTGTAATTGTCTATCTGTGTTTCCATGGCACCCGCGACACAAGGTTTCCTAGTGCGGTTTGGTTCAGTTGTCAATGAAACAGACTTCGTCAAAAAGAAACGTTAAAGATTTTAAATTTAATTAAGATTTAATTCAATGATTACATATTATGAAAAAGATATAACTTCTATAATGACCCACTGAGGCAGTGAAGGCAACCCTTTTAGACAACTCTATTTTTATTTTACTAAATAACTTTCCAACCTCTAAACGTCAGCTTGTTATCTCTAATATAAAAACTACAATAGTGTTTGGCAAAAATAGTTACTATTTTAACTAGAATCTACAAACGCTTTTAATAGTAATATTAACTTTTATCATATACTCCAGTAGCAATTACAGTACTAAGTTAGTGATTGAGTGTTGCCTGACAACGTTTAGAACCCACGAAGCGGGTTGACAATAATTACTTTTGTATTCTGAAGTTATGGGTCATTTTCTGCTTAATAAGAAATCCCTAGCAGGTTTACTGCTTTTGAAATGAACAATCAACAATTAACTCAAACAAAAAACACGTAAAGCAAAATAAACGTAATGTAAATAGACATAATTAACATGAAGCGTTACACGAAAACTCACGTGTTTTGTATTTCATGTATTTCTACATTGTTGCTGCTCGGCATCCAGCTGTATACCAACTAGTAGCCTGGGCGTTTAAACCCCAGAATTACCAGCTGATATTTAGCCAGATACCGTTGGAAAATCTGCTAGTGGAATTTGTAAAGACCGAATCTAAGTTCTGCATTAAGTAAATAAAATCAAACGAATCACGAGAAGTACATCTGTGAGGTACTATTGTAGGAGTGTGTCACACAAATAAAGTTTTAAGGTTATGTTTTATCGTAACTGAAGTAAAACAGGCAATGTTGTGATAAATTAAGGTAATTTAAGTCAAGGTAAATAATTCGTGATGTGTTCTACACATTTATAAAACCAGACCAATTTAAAAAGTCCTAGGATAGGCAGCGTAAAATAGAAGTTTTTGGAATGAGGATTAAATACAGGATGGAGACAAGCTGCTCAGATTAAATAATATAATGCATAGATTAAATATAATATGTATAATAAATAATGATATGTTCCCATTATGTCCTAACGTTTTATTTCTCGTCAGACGACTGTCGTTCTAGCTCTTCCCATTGTCACGATAGTCTGTCGTCGTAACGTCAAAAAAGTCGTGAACGACAGTTCGTGTTTTACTATATGTGAACAACTTCATTTAAATATACAAGTCACAACATTTTAAACGCGCCCTTCGTTATACTCGTATTAATACGATAAAACTGTACAAGTTGAATAGTAAAAATCATTGACTATAATTGTAAGTCAATGGTAAAAATTCACAATTTTTAAAGTTACTTAATTGATCGATTTCACGTGTCCTATTTAACTATATTTTACGTACTTTCTGAGTACGGGTTTTCATAAATAGATATATATATATATATATAAATATCACAAATAAATAGTTCGCCAGGTTAGCCCTATGCACGTAGGCGCTTTCACATGGTTTTCGACGATAATACTATTATTATATAATAAGCTCCCAAATGCCTGGTCTCAAATTAAAAAATTCCATGAGTGCCAGAGTAACGGAATTAACTATAAACTCTTTCCAGAACACCTATACCAGAATCAATTTACAAAAGTTCATTTCCCGAAATCCTGGTCGAACCCTGGAGCTCCTCATCCAGCGCCCACTTTGAACCTTGTTGTACGTGCAAGTCACAATGTTTTCACCGTCAGCGAGGACTACTGCTATTAAATGTTCACGAATGCGTGTAACTTAGAAAGTTATAAGCCCCGAAAGGTGGACCTTACAATTGAGAAGCAACCGATCTCCTACTGGGCTACTAATACTAATGCCGATGTTGTAATGTAAATAATTTACTTTTCGTCAAAAATTGTACGAGAAATCCTTGCGATTACAATATCCTCTAATTCCAATTCCAAAATGGCGAATTTCACACTTGTCAAAAGTTCGTTTAGAAATTTGTGCAACGTTTCTGCCTATAATTGGTGTTACTAAACACGATATGCTACCTAGTGCGTAGCTTAGTGATTTCTAAAATATAAACAAAAAAACATCTACAATTTAAGAGCGTAAAATGACTACAACTAATTAGTTATTCAAGTTTAGACACATAAGAATTGTCAAAAGGCTATCTAGTTATGTACAAATACATTTCAATAAAAAGATAGATGCAATTACAGTCAAATTTGGATATCGAGGTCATTCAGGCACCAAAGATTTTAGTATTGAAAACTAATTGATGTGCTAACATCAGACTCCATAAATATGATTCATTTCTTCTAAGGTCCAGAACGTCTCTTAATCAAATTTGACTCTACAATCATCACAATGCTCTTATCGCAACTATACATCACAATAAATATATCCAGCAATGTCTTACCTTGCTCCTTCAAATCATTGATTTGTGCTGTTTTAGTTTCAACCTGGTCACCTAATCTGGTGGCAGCTTGTAGGCCTGCCAAGGACTCTTCCAGCTTTGTATTGAGATGAGCTATTTCATCTTGAAGATAACTGTTTTGCTTTTCCATACTTTCCATCTTGTTTCGTATTTTCTCTGTAGCTGCGTGTATGTCGCGGTCTTTATCTGAAATTGCATTTGATTTACCTGTAAGTACATTTCTAACTTCGTCGAGTCGATTCTTACCAATGATGATTTATTTATTATGACTTATTTCGATTTTGGTGTATACAAATAACAATGTACATAATAAATATTAGACAACATTACATACGTTGCTCTGATTCCAAAGTACGTAACAAAAGAACTTGAGTTATGGCAATCGGAAACAACGACGGTGCCACAAACACAGAAAAGTTAATTTTCTACATTGACCCGGCTGGGGATCGAATCCAGGACCTCAAGAAATGGTAATACCATCAAAACCGGTGTGCGTATGTAATAATATACAATATAACGTCTCTTTTTAGACTAATTGCCTGATAGCACTAGGTAAATTTCTAAGCTGTAACTAGTATATAATTTCAATTAGTTACGTTCATGTATGAAAAGGTAGAGTTATAAGGACGGATGGAACTCAGAATGTTCACTTTTGAAAGCTAAATAAGTTAAGACCAAAGTTATTTCAGCAGTGTCAGATACGTCTGTTATAGTTACGACTTACCCAATTGGAACTGCTCTAATACAACTTGCAAGTTGGTGAGCGCCGCTTCGCTGCGGTTTCTCGCGTCTTCAGCCTCACTCAGTTTCGCTTGAACATCTTCGCGCTGCTTTTCCATTAATTTGATTTGGTTCCGGAGTGTCTCTACTTCTTGATTGGCCCGGATGCTGAAAAATATTAAGATAGCAACTAGTTCATTAGTGTGCAAATCGTAAAGGCGATCGTAAACTGTTCTAGCAAATGGAGAAAGTATCCTTTACTTTTCTTTACTTCAAAAGGACGGAGGTATTCGCTTCGAATTTTCCTTTACTTGTCGACAAGTGACAAAGAGGTTAGATGTAATGAGATTCCTGAAAGGTCGATAGGTTCGTGGTTAAGCAGTTAAAACAAGCTATTAACTAACCTATTACTAGTATAAACAGTACTGGTCTGTTTTGCTCGATCTTCGACTTGGCGTAGCCGTGCCTGGACTTCGTTCATCTTCTGTTCCGAAGCCATTAGCTCCTGAGTGTAATTCTCTTCCATCTCCATCAGGTGCTGACGGAGTCGTTCCAGTTCACGTGTTGAGTTTTGTTCTAATTCTGACAACTGAAATTGATAAAAGGATTCATGAGTAATGAATTAAGGCTACCTATCATTCCACACCTCACTCTATGTGACATCGATTCATCTTGGAAAATGAATGTAGCTTAGCAAGTTCATGGAAACAAACGGTGTTCTAGGTCTAGGCTACATTAATGAGTCATTGAGGACTGATGGAAGTATGATCTATAATTAAGCACGAGTGTAATTATTGCGATCGTATTTGATTACAAATAATGAAATAAAGAATCGTTAAATAAGGAATTTACAATGTCAAATATACTTTTTTAGTAACTGGGGACTTCATTTCCTCGGCACGATCCGGCACGATCTGATCCACATCCAGGTTTATAGGTCATAGGAGAAGAATTTGTTTCATGAAACAAGTTGCAATATAAAGTTAAGAGAATGTTACTTATGAGTAATATTTTTCATGAGGACAGACGTCACAAGCAATTATGTCAATAACGTCAATATAGTTATTTCTGATCGCTGACTTTCTATTAGTTTCGATGCATTGAGATATATATCTCACGATGTGCCCTGTCATTTACTGGAATGAGCGTGCTAATTGTAATGATAATGGCGATGAATAGTGATAATATATTACCTCATTCTGTAAATCAAGTTAAGCCAAAACTTACCTGTACATTTTGTGCTGTCAATTCCTTAACTGCCTCCAATTGTATTGCCAAGCTCTTGTCTAAAGTATCACATTTTTCGGTTAAGTTTTTAATTGTCTCATTTGCTTTAAGTAATTCTGATTTCATGGTTTCATATTCTGTCGAATTTTGATTCAATGATTTTATGATTTCGTCTTTCTCTTTTAATGTAATCTTTAGATTCTCGCAATTTGTACAATTTTCCGTTTTATTTTGTATTAGTGCGTCTTTTTCTTCTATAATTCGCTTGAACTCATTTGTTTGTTCTAACAAAATGTGGTTTAGTCTTTGGATTTCGGTATGATATTGTATACTTTCATTGTGTTTAAGATTTATTAGGTTTATCAGTTCACTTTTTTCCTTAGTGGCGTTCTCCAAAATTGTTTTGTACTCCGTACAAGATTTCTCCATTTGTTCACTCTTCGATTTCGCGGAAGTCAATTCATCTTCTTTTGTCTTTAATTGAGTTTTAAGTTCGGTGAGTTCTTTCTCTACATCAGCCAATTCTCTATCTTTTGTCGTTAATTGCGTTTCTAGTACGGTGACTTCTTTTTCTATTGTTTCCTTTACTTGAACTAATTTGGCATATTCATCATTTACGTGAGTTAAATTGTCTGTGATTTTTATTTTGTCTGTGAGTTCTATTATGGATTGACTCAGCTCCTTTATTTCTTTGTCTTTGTTTTCTATTACAGTTTTATATTCCTTACACGTTTTCTCTAATTCTTCTGAACGGATAGTCAGTGCTGACAGATGTGAATTTCTAACATTAATTTCTTCATTTAAGAAAATAATTTGTTTACTCATATCCTCTTTTTCATATTGCAATTTAGCTAATTCTTCAATACTTTTGTCACATTTAAATGTATTTTCATTGAACTTTTCCATAATTTCTTTTATTGAAGAGGTGAGTTTCTGAATCTCGTCATTTTTCAAGTTTAATGTTTTAGTAAGATCACTCACACTTTGATTCAAAGTTTCTATTGTGTTATTGCTTTCATTCACTTTAATATTAAGGCTATCTATTACTGTGTCTTTCTCGTTTATATCTGCTATTAACTTGTCAAATTCTTCTTCGAGATGCAATATTTTCTTGTCTGTGCTGAACAATTCTCCTTCAAGTTCCAATTTTCTTTCGCTGAGCTTGTGATTCTCTTCCTTTAATTTGGTTATTTGCGTTTTACAGGTATTTAGTTGTATCACTTTCGCTTTTAAGTCATCGATCGTTTCTTGTAATTCAGAAACATGAGCACATTCAGCACTTGTGTTGTTTTTCAAAGTACTGTTTTCAGCTCGAAGCTCTTGCTCTACTTTTTGTAATTGAACAACATCGTTGGTTAGTTTGTGTATTTTTTCAGCCAATGACGAATTTTCTTTTAATACACCTTGTAACTTTTCGTCGAGACGAATTTTTTGAACTGCAATCGTATCTAATTCAGATTCTTTGTTTAAATCCTTTGGTTCTGTCGAATTATTCTCCAGAATAACATTTTTTTCCCCGTGTTCGTGGCTATGTGTAAACACTTCATTTAGCCTGCGTTCAAGATCTTCAAGTTTCTGATCTAGAGTTGTCTTCAGAGTCTCCAGTTCCTTATTTACAAGTACGCTTTCTTCTAACGCATGTTTTAGGTCATCAATTTCTTTTGTAAGAAGTACTTTGTCATTTTCAATTATGTGTATGTCTATTGATAATTGTTCGTTTTTGGCACTTGTTGTGTTAAGTTTTTTCTTCAACGCGTCAATCTCATCATGAGCTTGTTGAAGCTTAACCGTGTAGTGGGTATTACTCGAATTTTCCAACTCCTGTACCTCTTTAGCTTGATTTTTAAGTTGGTCCAGCTCTTCAAGCATTACGGTGTATTTACTCCTCATTTCGTTTAAACTTTCCTGTAAAACTACTTTTTCAGCTTTGACTTCAGCTAGTTCAAATTCTATTTTGAGAATTTCATTTTCAAAAGTTTTATTTTTCATAGTACAATGATCTAGTTCTGTTTCTAATTTCGCTATATTGTCTTCATGAGTTTCTATTATTGGTTCTAATTTGGACGTATTCTTTAAGGCCGCTATTTCAGAAATTAGAAAATCATTGTTTTTCTTCATCTCATTCAATTCACTTTCATAATGCTGAATATCAGTCGTCAAAAAATCATTTTCTGTAGTCAAATCATCTATTTGCGTTTGTAAATGATTAATATTGTGATTTTTCTCAGAAAGTTTGTGTTGAAGGGTATCAATATCCTTTTTAAACGCATTGAGCGTTTTAAAAATACTTTCTAGTTTGAACAAAATAATTTTGTCTTCAGATGCAGGTATTTCACCCAGGTAATCAACAGGCAATTCAAAATTCACATATTTATTGTAAAGTTGCATTATTTTTTCAGAACCTATCTTTTTATGATCACTGTCTAAGTCTTTTAGGGATAGCTGATGTTTCAATTCGTGTATATCCCTTTTAAATTTTTCAATTAAACTTTTGGCATTATCGTCAATATTAACTTCATCTAATTGCATCTGATTGGAATTCCGCCTATGCCTCAGCTCGTGCAGTTCTTTTAAAATTGCATCGTAATTTTCTCTTGGAACAAAATTCGATAATTCATCATGTTTATTACAAATTTCCACTTCATGCTCCAGCTTTGTGACTTGCTCTTGGAGTTTGAAAACTTCCTCGTGCAATTCCTGATTCTCTTCTTGAAATTTCTCAGCGTTTTCTCTTAATAGACTATGAACCTTTTCTAAATTGCAATATTTGTGTTGCAGCGTTTCGTACTCAGTTTTGTATCCTTGTAGTCTTTGGATTTCTCTATCTTTTTCATCGATTTTTTCTACAAATAATCGGATCTGTGTGGAGTATTCATTATTTGTATTTTTTAAATCTTCATGTTCCTGTTTCAATACTTCGAAGTTTTTCTGCAATTCCTTTTTTAAAGCCAGAAGTCTTTCCATGGCCAATTGATGTTGAGTGTCTAAGTCCTCCAGATTACTTGTTAAATTTAGGTTCTCTTCTCGAAGTCTTATGAGTTCCTGTTCAAGTGGCTGGGTCGATTCTGGATCTCTAGCTTTCAGGTTGGATATTTCAAGCTCCAGTTCGCGGATTTGGGATTGATGTTGATTATCCACAACTTGCTGAGGTAGTTGTGGCGGAGGATCCCAGTACCAACTGGATTCTTCATCTTTAATGCCATTTTTTCGAGCAAGCCTCTGTAAAAAAAGAAACAATATGTTTCATAAAATGTGTATTTCAAAAGCAATTTACTTAATTGCTAATTACGTGGTGAATATTTCTATTAACTCAAAATTGTTCGAAATAGTCTAACATTACTTTTGAGACAAAGGAAAATATCACTAATAGTTAACTGTCCACAATCAAGTGACCCAAATGACAAACGGAATGTTTTAAAACGAGTAAACCTTAAAGAACTTTATAGGTAACTCATGCCTCACGACAATGTGAGCGAGAATTGTACATAAACTGTACAACCGTTCTCATATGTCGCTTATTGCTCTAACTATGGTCATACGAGTTACCGGTAAACTTCTGTGCCAGTCTGTACAGCAACGCACCGTACATAAACGGTACAGTACCTCGCAAAGCTTGTGATAACATTTTGTACGGAAAGCAGTAGAAATTAGATACGAAGAAAGACGCAAGGGTATACACGCGTCTGTTCAAACACACGATAAGTTATCTTCGTTTTAAGGTAGAGAAGTGAGTCACGGAGTATAGGTTCTGACGAAACGTTTTAAAAGGACGTTTAAGTTTTAAGTTTTGGGTCAATTGTTACGGTAATACTTAACAGCGTTGTGTGAACAAAGATATTTAATAGGAAAACGAGACATGAATGTAGAACGCGACCAGTCCTTAAAAACCTTATGAAATGCATATTTGTGTATATAAAAGTATTCATAGAGAGCGATAGTCATGGATTTTCTTACATTGGGTTAACTGTAACATGCAAGGTAACTCAGGTTATAGCGATTTAAAATAAAACTGATCGTGTTATAAAGTTATAGAGTTATAAAGATGCAACAACGACAAAACCATCACGAGCATATTGAAGTCAGTTGAATTGTAGCTTTTAAACACGACATACTTAATGGCGGTACTTGAATTTTCCTTCACTTCGTCCTCAGTTTATTGGGATGCATGCATTACAGGAGATTAGAAATCCTTTACATTCCGAAATCGGTTTGAAAAGGTATACAAATTTACAGGTTGGTAGTACATAGGGCGCACTGTAAGTTTCCGGAACTGGCCACTTACATAAACAATATTTAAAAAGTAATTACAACATTTTAAGATGGAACTCTATGGCTGTAGAATACAGTTTGTATCATCTGACTGTCACTTGTTTTTACATTGCGGTGTCATTTTAGAAATTAGTTGTCTACATCACCATGGATTTAACTCGTGAAAATTATCATAGTATGATTTTCTATGACTTTAAGTGTAATGTAACAGCTCAGCGGAGCTTCGCTCAGTTTCAAACTGCTTTCGGCGATGAAGCACCATGCAAGATGAGTATTTGTAGCTGGTTTGCAGAATTCAAACACGGTCGTGTGAATCTCAGTGACGAATTTCGTGATGGTCGCCCGTCCACTGCTGTGAACAACAAAAACATCGATGCTGTGCGCCGTATGATCAAAACAGACAGGTATGTGACATACCATGACATTCGGGCATCTCTAGGCATAGGCATGAGTCAAATACAATCAATACTACACAAACATTTAGATGTGAAAAAGCTGTGTTCTTGGTGGATCCCACATAATTTAACTTAGGCTCAAAAAACGGATCGCGTCACTTGGTGCAGTGCCATGCTTACCAGATCCAACGAAGGGGTGTCAAATTTGGTGTGGGACATAGTAACAGGTGACGAAACATGGATTTATAGTTACGATCCCATAACAAAGCAGCAATCGAGCGTATGGGTCTTTCGAGATGAGCCGAAACCAACCAAAGTGGCGCGCGTGCAAAGTGCCTCTAAGCGGATGATTTCTTCTTTTTTTAATAAAACTGAACACGTAGCTACTGTTGCTTTGGAGAATCGTTGTACCGCGAATAGTGATTGGTACACGACCATTTATTTGCCGGAAGTTATTGGCAACTCCGTAAAAATAACTGTGAACGCCGTATCATCTTGCACCACGATAATGCCAGTTCTCACACGGAAAGACAAACAAACGAATTTTTGAAGGTGAACAACGTTGACCTTATGAGCCATCCCGCGTACAGTCCCGACCTGGCACCTTTTGACTTTTATTTATTTCCAAAAATTAAGAACCACTTACGTGGTCAACGATTTTCATCACCTGAAGAGGCTGTCGAAGAGTATGGAAAATATGTTTCAGAGATTGTCACGGAGGAATGGTATAAATGTTTTCAAAATTGGGTCATTAGCATGAAAAAGTGCATCAATTAGCGTTAGCGGAGATAATTCTGAGAAACAATTAATTCATTTTTTGAACTGCCTCCGTGGCCGAACGGTTACCATGCCGGACTGCCACGCCGAGGTCCCAGGTTCGATTCCCGGGCCGGGAGATATGTTTGTATGGCTTACATTTATTTCTCTCGTGAGTTTGGGTGTAATTTGTGGTTGTCTATGTGTGTGTCCTGGCACCCGCGACACAGGGTTTCCCTTAGTGCGGGGCTATGTTGAGTGTGTGCGTTATTTATTTATTTTATTTACTTCTTACCCTTTTATAGTATTTTTTTCTAATTCATTCCGGAAACTTATAGTGCGCCTCACGTATACCTAATTAAATGTCGACGTATCGACTAATCGTTCGAGCTCGTTTAGGACGACAACTGGTGCGTGAAAGTCGACCGATAAGGCCGTATCGCAAACTACTTTACTCCACAATATTGTGTAGGTAAACTATTACAGCCATATTACAAAGCAAGCATTTGCTGAATATAGGTTTTCCAAGACCCGTAGGGTCTATAATGTCAGGCAAACATACGCGCCATGTTTTTTTTTATGTAAGCAACCTGCCTGTGCCTGTATGTGATTTAAATCTGCGCCCTTCATCGTGTGACACAAGTTGACAAGTCCCATGTGAATGTAATTTCACCAACATCCTTAAAACCAAAATGCAGTAATGCTCACATCACCGCTTGGTTGCAGAAATAGGTAAGACGGCAGGTATTATATGTTATTTGTAAATTATTTAATATTAATGGCAGTTTTGTTTTTGTGGAGCAGGACGAGATGCGTCACATAACTCTTATTTCAAATGTAGCGAGATTCTTCAAAAGGGTGGGGTACGAAAAAAGCTTAAGCCGAGACTCTTACCTTTTTAACTACTACACACGATGTTATTTAAGGCTAAACTTGTACATTGCTGTACTCATTATAGACAAATAAAGTTCTTTATTATTATTTCCCTGGACGAACTCTTTCACAAGGAGCTCTACTAGTAGGTAATAAGCTGTAATAGCCGTGTCTGGATAGATCGTTTATGAAGAATAGCTAGTTATAATTTAACAGAGAAACGCTTCTATCCATATCCTGGATTGTACCCATAGTATTTCCCTGGATGGACTCTTTCACAAGGACCTCTAGTGCGGCTATGGTCACGGGTTGGTCAGCGAGCTAAAATTTCGGGAAAACAACGATTCGTACCGGTGGCAACAAACCTGTAACTATGGATAATAATCATCGGTCTGTTATTAAACAAGGCGATGTTGTTTCTAATTTCCCGGAGTCTCTTAGTCACTTCCTACGACATTCTTAAGAAAATACGACTCAAGGCGACTATTTGCACATGAAAACCACAAGTTATCAGAAATAGGATTCAATCCTATGAAGTCAGCGGGCGTGGCACTAAGGTTACTCTCGTACAATATGTGGCAATGTAATTAAACACCTAGATAATACAGCTGATAACACATTATCTTAATCCTATCACGGGCGCTTTTAACTGTTGTTTGTTTTAGCGGTTACACTAAACTGGTCTCTCACATTGGACTGCCATATAAGCACGATGACGTGTTTTGTTTTGGGAATTATTTGTACTGTGAATTTAGGAATGACAATATTAACCAAAGAAAGCCGGCGTAATATTGAACATGTTATAAACTTTTAGTTAGAGGAGGCTACATGGTTAAGGTAAAGTGAGATCCAATGACATTTGTTGAACTCACGGAAAATCGATTTTGCGATGTTAAAAAATAAATTCAATTGGTTTTATTAATTGACAATGAAAACAGAATATCCCGGTAGTGAATTATGAGGCCCGAAACAATTGACCTAACTTCGCGCAAATTCCGCTAAAATTTTCTTTTTTTAATTTGAATGTTCATTAACGTAAAAATCACTTTCACTAGAGATATATCAATAAAAATTTCGCTCACGTGTTTCGTGATGAGTTCAAGCGATTAGGACCTTATTCTATTGTAAGAAAAGACATTTTATTTCTAAACGACATGATATACCGACGGTGTTTTTGTGGTAAGCGACAATTCGAAACAATTTTTGGGGAGCATGTTTTATTTAGGTTTTAACTTCTGTTTTATTTACGTTATTTTTAAAATTATGATCTAAGTATGTAATGATTTTATTAATACAAAGATGACGAACACTAAGAAATAATTTCTTCGATCTGACTGGATTCGAACCAACGACTTCCAGCGAACCGTGACAGACGCAATGCCAACTAAGCCACGGAACGAACTAGCGAACATTGCAATCTTTTCTGTGTGCTTGTTGGAGTAATTTCACAAAAATAATTGAATATCGCGGGGGTCAATATCGTGACATTCAATAACCTTTATTTTACAACAGTCCCTTCTACAAAACACCGTCGATTTTGTTTAAATGTCGTGCAAGGCTTTGCGTATGGGTCGATCATCCCGCCGCTTGTCACACGTCGGGTTTAACTCTTGGTCCATAAAACATGATAATTATGAGCACCGTTCGGCTGCATCAATTCGGACATGCAGACATTTACAGGTAAAGAGAATAAACAGGTAAGTAAATAGCACTTTATCAATCAACAATAATTCGTCTCACATGTGAACACTTCTAGGGAAAACAGTTCATTACCCTTATTTCGCTGTATTGGGGTAAAAATTGAAAGCCAGTGTACGTGTGAAAACAATGGTTCGTATTCTAAGGTAACGCACGAGTTCTAACTTTACAATCAAGTTTTTAATCTAAAATTTCACTATTCCAATTTAATGTTTTCATCTATTTAGG